TTCTTTGATTTTTAGTGTGACAATAAAATAATTTTTTTTAATTATTTTTTAAAAAAATTGGATCAAATCTCATTAAACTTTGGTGTGAAATAAATTAATGTATCTATCACATCCAAAACAAAATTGTTGCATGTTGAAACATTAATGACAATAGAAATAGAGTTTTGCGCCCTACTTTTATACAAAAAAATACAACACATATATAGATAAGAGAGAGATGTGTAAGAGTCCTAAGAGATGTTTGCTTTTTACGTGAAAATCCTAAAAAGGGAAAAACCAAGGTGTCTTACCCAGTTGAAATGTTTTCACTAGCATTAATCGTGGATTACAAATGTGCCTTCTTGAGGGAAAGCGTAAGGCGTTGACAAAACGTGTAAATATACATCATGTAGAGCATATCACATGGTTTGAGTTAGAGGAATCCAGTGACATCATAGTTGTTCTAAAGAAAATGTTGGCATGTTCGTTTGATTTGTAGGATCGTAGTTAGGGCCACGATGATTAAAGGGATCATAGTCGGTGAACGACAGAGGTTGTAAGGACTGCAGTTGGCGTGCGACAGAGGTTGGAGGGACTGTAGTCTGGCGATAGATGTCGATGGGACTATGGTCAGGCAACGAAGGTCGGAGAGATCATAGTTGATAGACAATGGAATTTATAGAGACCATAGTCGGGCAATAGAGATCGAAGGGAACGCTGTCGGGAAACAAAGGCCAGAGGGCCGTAGTTGATGGGCGACGAAGCCCGGAGGGATTGTTATTGTGCAAAGATGATTGGAGGGACCATAGTGGTTGGACTACTATTGTCGGTGGACAACTGTGGTCGTAGGGACTGTAATTGGGTAACGAAGATCGGTGGACCATAGTCAGATGATGGGGACGGGGCCGTGATATTATAATTATTAAGTGTTGACATATTTGTGATAGTATAGAAATTTATTATTATAGCATTGAATGAAATTTGGGGCAAAAAGATAAGGATAAATTTTAGTAGTGAAGTCATATATTACAAATAATGCATTATTATTGGACAATACATTAATATAATATAGTAGATATTTATCGTGGAAGACATCTTTTATAGTAGAACTAGAGTCTTGAGATGTCTAAGTTATAATCAATTGATAGTGGGCATTCTTTTCGGTCACTCATTAAGAGAGATGATCGGTGATTAGGAAAATGGGCGTTAGTTGTTAGTTGTTGATGGACAATGTAATATGGCAGATGTTACACTATAGTCGATTGGAATCATTGGACATATTTGTGATGGTAGGTGGATGCATGATCCTCCTCCTTGTAGTTGGGGTATTAATGACAATGAAGGCGAGTGTCAGACCTTGGTGGATGACATGCATCAAATATTAGTAGTCATAAGAAGATGATCGACCAAGAACATCATGTGATAATCAATGAGCTACTCGATCTTCTTTATACAAGAGGGGGAGATTGGAAATCAAGACGATGGATATCAAATGTCGCTGACTAACACACATCGTATGAAGGATGATTATGAATGTTAGACTTTGGATGAAAAGTAATGGTTTGCTATATCATTATCCTAATATGATGTCATGTCCTAGTATCTAAAGTGGAAGAATTTCATCTATTTTCTCTTTCTTCATGTATTGTTCGTCTTATAATTCAACTTAAAACATATATTCATTTAAATTCATATCAGACTAATTGCATTAAGGAATATATATATATATATATAATAAAAAAAACATCATTACTTTACTTAATATTTATATTCTACTACAAAGTCCAAAAATCCAAAATAACTTATACAATAGTCGCAACGTGTTGCACAAGAATATATAAAACAAAAGAGCTAACAATAAAACTAAACTATCATCACCGTTTATAATAAAATGTTGGAATCTATAAAATACAAAAAAATTGGTATACTAGTCAATAGCTTCAGAAAATTATAATTTTCATTTGATCTGGTGAAATTTAATAATATTCCACTCACAATGCTCGTGAGAATCATCCATATCATATATAAAAAGTTACATTTTAAAATCTTCTAAAATTAAGAGATAATGCATTTTTGACAAATTTAAAATAGATAAAAATCGTAGAAATTAAAATCATAAAAAATAAGAATAAGATTAATCACTTACAAAGAATAGAATCATTTTAGTAACAGGAATAACGGATAAAAAATCCTGACTGATTTTCTCGCATTTGATTGAGCCCTACTTAAAAAATGTTACCGCTCGAGAAGAATCGAATTTTGTTTGGTACTCAACTACCAACCAACCTAAGCAACGATAGATAAATGACATTTTTTTTGCCAGAAAGTGTTCGAGCATTTAATCCCACCAACAGCTCACTTTGATTTGGATTTCAAGTGTTTGTTATCTTTGCGTGATGGGATGATTATTTTATTTTGAGTGAAAGTGACAAATCTTTTTAAAAGAAAGAGGAAAAGAGAACCGAAAAATAAAAGGATGAGTACTGCAAAATAATATTTTATGTTCCACTGTCTTCAATGCATGAGCATTTTCACCAACAACTTGCTTATATGTAAATTAATACTATATGATCTAAATTTGATTTATCTCTTATATCTTGAAAAGTTATTATTCTTTAACTTTAAATTTTATTATTTGTTCACAAATTAATTGTTGATACATCATCAAAAATTGATTTAATCAAATACAAATCTTGATGCAAGCTTGAAATTGTTTGATCCAAATTCAAATAAGATAAAAAAATTCTGATCAAATTGATCAACTTAGCTAGATAAACCCTAAAACTCAAAACATGATTTGATCTGAGTTCAAATATGCGCACATAAATTGTTTGAAGTATAGTTAAAAATTTTGGACTATTAGTTAAGGATCAAATGATCTTCAAATTTGATATTCTTATAATCAAATTGTATCAAAATGATGAATCCAACAATACAGAAATCTCAAATTTGACATTATTTGGATTCATTATTTGACTTCAACAAACTGACCACCCTCCGCAACAATTTGCCAGAGTGAACAGGCTCTACCTAAGTACCAAAATCGCTTGCTTTGACCGCCCAACTGCTGCTAGTATTCCTTCACAACCCGTTTAGTGTTGTCATACCTTTGAAACCCACCGCCACCATCAAAATTTCGCCACATGATCGCCGTTGTCAGACCTTCGTCAAAATATTGTCGTATGTCCATCATTTGATCACCATCGTTATGCCACCACCTTAGCACACTTGTTGGACTATACTGCACACTAACTAGAGGCAACATTATACAAATTTCAAAAGTGTTTTAAGAATATACAAATTTTGATTATCGTTTTAAATATTATTTTATCTCAAAGAAAATTTTATACTATTAAAAATCCTCATAACCAAACTTTGATTATACGTTTTCCTGATCGAAAAATTGTTCCTAAGAAAGCATGTATCTTGAAAAAAATTGTGTTAAAATTTTTTGAACCAAAATATATTAAGATGTACTACATATTCTTTAAATTTGTACTAAGAATAATATATTTAGAATATTATATACTCCATTAATAAGTATAAAGGCAAGAGCTTTAAAGCTTATCCTGATAGGTTTTGTATCAGGATTTTCATAACCTTCCTATTTAATGTTTAGTTCTCATTTTCATATTAAATATTAAGTAAAATTTAAAAGTTATCATATATACTACTATAATTATTTTTAAATTATAAAAATGCATATCTCATTGTAAAATTAAAATAATAACAGTAATAAATTATAGTCAAATCATTGATAATTTTCATAAGGCAAAATGATGATTTTTTTTTTTTTTTTGGTATGCACTACATTTTGGCTTAAAAGTGAGTATGAATTTGCATAAAAATTTGCTAAAAAAATATTATTTTAAAGGGATCCTAATTGATGAACAGTAACAGATTAACTAAAAATGCTAAAAAAAAAAAAAAAAAAAAAAACTAAAAAGTGCTCTAGATATTCAATTAAATAGGCTTAAGAGTATTTAAATCTATACGATAACAACAACAATATCAAGCCTTTATCTTACTACATGGGGTCTATTACATGAATATTTTTTCTTCATGGAGCCTATTATGAATCAATTTCTCATTTAAATTAAATAAAGAAATGCAATTTCAAATATTTTTTAATAAAGCCTTTTAGGTCTACCCCTTCCTTTCAAAACATAAGTCAAATCTAATATATCTACTCTTCTAAACGGGTCATCAGAATGCCGCCATTTTATGTGACCAAACCATTTAAGGTGTCTCTTTCTAATCTTGTCTGCCATAGAACTACTCCAACCTTCTCATGTATATGCTCGTTTTGTATCTTATCTTTAAGAGTAAAGCCACTCATCCACTTGAGCATCTTCATCTTTGCAACACTTAACTTAATATTATGCTTCTCTTTTAATGCTAACATTCTCTGCCATAAAATATTGCAAGTCTCACCATCATCTTATAAAATTTTCCCTTAAATTTAAGGAGTACTTTTCTATCACACAACAAGCCTAATGCATTCATTTACTTAAACCATCCAATTTGAATTCTACCATTAATATCTCAATCTATTTCATGATAACTCTGGATAACAGGTCCAAGATATCTAAAACTTGTACTCTTATTAATAACTTGATAGCCCAAAGTCACAATCCTTTCACTAGATCTATCACTACTAAAATTACACTCCATTATTCGATTTTAAATCTACTCAAATGAAAATCTTTACTCTCTAAAATTGACCTTTATAATTCAAATTTACCTTCAATTTGATCTCTAATCTTGAAGAATAACACCAACAAAAAGCATACATGAATAAAGTAAAAATATATGGGCTTAAAGTTGATCTTTGTTAAAAAATTAATATAATTTATAATGATGGTATGAGTATTTAAATTAATATAATTTATAATATCACATATAAATATTTATCTTAATAATTTTTATAATTTTCTCAATATAAATTACATCAAAATATTTTAATACAACTTCTTAAAAAGATTAACGTGACGAAACTCTATAAAAGGAGACGACAGCTCCAAGCTGTGGGCATTCCACTGCCACTGCTACGTTTTCTGTGTGCGTTCATACCCCCTCATCCTCTTCCGCCCTCTTTCTCTCGCTGAGTATTCCCCGACACGGTAATCGAAATAATGTGCGGCGGTTCCATCATCTCCGACTTCATCCCCTTCACCTCCGGCCAGAATCTGTCCCGTCGGCATCCCGAAAATCCCAAATCGGCCGATTCCAAAGACTCTGATCCTGCCCCCTCTCAAGGTTTTATTATTTTTTCCCTAATTTTAATCTCATTTCTCGAAGTTTTTTAATGGTATTGCTTGTCTTGCTTCTTGATTAGAGAAGAAGAAGGTCCGGAAGAACATTTACCGCGGGATTCGGCGTCGGCCATGGGGCAAATGGGCGGCGGAGATCCGCGACCCGAGAAAGGGCGCTAGGGTTTGGCTCGGGACCTACAGTACACCCGAGGACGCCGCTCGAGCTTACGATGTCGCCGCCCGCGAGATCCGCGGCAGGAAAGCCAAGCTCAACTTCCCCGAAGAAGTTCCCGACGTCGCCGGCGTCGATGGCGGCGACGCCTCAAAGAAGCCGCGAGTCGCGCCGGAGGGCTGGTCCGCTTCGCCGGCTAGTACGGAGGGGCTCAGGGAGCAGATTTCAAGCTTGGAGACGTTTCTGGGGCTGGAGCCCGAGGTAGTGCTTACTGTGGAGACCGGCGGTTCCGGAGTGGACTGTTTCGGGATGTGGGATGACGATTATTGACTCAACGGATGGCTGTGATTCGATGGTGGCAGATTTGTTTTATGTTGAAGCGTGAATCTTGAAACAAATCCAATGATCCAAACTCTTTTGTTTATTTAATGATTGAAGAAGGGTAGGATTTTGTAGTTTTCTATTTGGAATTAAAAATCTCTTATGTACGCTATTAGAAAAGTAATTACTGCTATGATGAATGTATTTAGTATTGTCACGTGCACACTATTACCATTTTCCGCGTCCGGCGGGGACATGAGATGTCGCCACCCTGCATGCAACCTTTTGAACAGAGCTCCTTTATTATTAGGCTTCATTTGGTACATAATTTTTTTTTTATTATTTAAAAAATTATTAAAAAGTTATTATAAAAATAATAAAAAAATCTCAAATAAAGATTAGTTAAGAAATCATTTGAGATAATTTTTTAATTCCTTCCTCAAATAATTTTACAGAACAAATAGTTTTAATTTTTAAAAAATTGTATTAAAAATTGCTAGAAATTAATAAAAAGATATTTCAAAGAAGACTTCATTCCAGACGATTTTTTATTGCTTTTAAAATAGAATTTTAGTAAAAAATTAAATATTTGTGCTAAAATTTTGTTTTAAGAAAAAATAAAAAAGTTGTCTCAAACAAAGCTTAAGTTTCATTTGGGACAACTTTTAACTCTTATTTTTTTATTGCTTTTAGAAAAAATTTGTATTAAAAAGTTGTTGTAAAAAGCAATAAAAAAATGTCTCAAATGAAATTTTAATCTATAAAACATTAAAATTATGAGAGATCGATTTAGCATGAAAGTATAAGATAAAAATTAAATATACATAATTATGTGATAATTTCTACATATAATTGAAAGTTAAAAATTATTTTATTTTATATATACTAAGCAAAGTGAAGACATGTGACAATAATGAAGTTTTGGGGGGCATGAATTTCTTCAGGAGCCTTTTGACTTAAGTGGTGTTGATATGTAGTCGTCAATTTGGCAAGTTGTTTACTTTAGCAAATAGTTTGGCCCACTGATGTTGAGAGTCGGCAACATTTTTGTTCAACAAGTTTCTTAATGGCTACTATTGAAAAATAAAATTCGTCTGTAAATTTTAAGGAAGTTTATATGATTATCATATTTTAATTATACGGGAGAACATCCTTAAAAAAATTTGAAAGGGACCTTCACAATAATATAGAAAAAATTTTGTTGATTTATTATTGAAAAAAAAATTCACCGACATATATATCAATAAGTAACCGATCATAAAACATGAGATTTTTATATAAAAATATGGAAAATGAAAGAAATCGTCATTTTTTTTCCTAATTAAAACTATTCTAACTAGTGTAGATGGCACATTTCAAAGGATGTCCATCCTTATAATTGAATAAAATATTAATACACTTTAGTAGAGTAAAATTATAGAAGACAACTCTTTTGGTGAAGCAGTAGGAGCATTAAGACATCAGAGTTATCATCAAAGGTTCATTGATGATCTACTTGTCATTTTCCTTATGGGATGGGAAACAAATAACAAAAAATAACATCATTATGCTTGAGAGATGATTGGTTTCTGTTTTGCTAATGATGATGGGAATCAACACTATTGACAATAATAAGCGCTTACTTTTCTAACGTTTGTGATCTTCAACCATGATGGAAATAGTAGGTTTCAATATTAGTCATGATAGTAGGCGTCAATCTTGATGGTGACAATGGGTATTATCATTGGTGTTAGTGGTTAACGTTGGCTTTGTTGGGAATGGCTAGCATTAATATTAGTGCTGATGGAAAGCATCAACCTTGTTGATGATGATTGATGTCAACATCAATATAAGTAATGGTTGTTATTATTGTTAGTTGTGGATGGCATAGGACTTATCTGCTAAAATGTGTTTAGACCTTGATGGTGGCAATGGTAGGTTATCATCGACCCTAGTGGTCGCAATAAATGTTGATGATGTTGGTGATTGTGGCCGTTGACCTTAGCAGTAATGATGAGCATCAAATTTGGTAGCAATGTAAGACGAAAGTCGTGTTGGTGATAGCAGGTGAACACCACGTTAATGATTGCTACTGTCAAACTTAGTGATTATGAGAGAGCCTACACTGATGTTGATGGTGTGCACCAACTTTATTGGCAATGACATATTCTGATATTATTGGCGATAGTGGCATTATCATAAAAAATGAGCATTTATGTCAATGTTCATGATGAGTTTGCCTTATTAGCCATGATGTGTTTCAACTTCATTAGTTTCGATGAAGATCGATATTGTGAGCAATGGCAATTAGTGTTGTTATTTGTGACATGCATTAACGCTATCATTAATGACAAAAATTGATGTTGGTTGAGATGCCAAGCATTAGCATGGGTAGAGATGGTAGGCGTTCACGTTAACATTCATGACAGACATCACCTTTGGTGTCGATGACAAGGGTTGGCCTTCTTGTAGACAATGAGCTTTAATTTTGTTGATGACATTATGGGATGACATTGGCATCAATTACATATGTTGGCCTTGTTAGCAATAATAGGCACCAACTTTGAGGCAATGGATGTCATCAACTCTAATGCCGATGGCAAACATCAACATTATCGACTAACAAGCAGTCCACGAGGTTGAATTCCTACTCACCAGGTTCATGCACATCGCTCTCTCTAGAAGGTTGACAGCATATCCTAGAATTTTCCATTTCTAAGAAAATATTAAGTTCAATTTGGTTTAATATCACGATGATTCATTTTCCTCGAGTCGAGCTCAATCTGTTTTGTAGGCATTATTTGATATGGATGAATGCGAGTGCATTCAAGCTCCAATCTTCTCATAGGTGGAAGACACTACATTGAATTATCACTTTTTCTCTCTTTTTTTTTTTTTCTCAAGCATGATGAGAGTGGAAATGAGCTTTGTTGTGTCCCCTATGTTGGCAATGATGATGGGCATCAACGAGCATTGATTTTAGGTCATCTCCAATCAAACGACATTTTTCAGTTTGCAGTAGCCCGAACGTCCAACCGAACATCATTTTTACATTTTAAACAATATGATGCTAATATTGGAGTCGCACTGCTCACAGTGGAGAGAAAATATAAAATACGTTTTCGTTTGGCATTTGGGTGGGCACTCGCAATAACTGCAAACAAATAATAGGCGAATAGTATTTGGTTCAGCCCAAGATGCCCTTATTTACTAAGATAGGTGCTAACCTTGATGGAAAAAATTTCTTCTTTTATTACTAACTATTATTATTAAAATAAGTTATATGGATATATAAGCTCAATTCAAATTTAATATAAATTTAGAAAATAAATTCTAGAGATCCTTATTCCTTACCTTTTGAGTCAAGTTCATAGTACTAAATTGACGTCAGCGGCTTGGCGGCTACTTCTTATACAATCATCCATCGCGACCCTCGTTAGTCGTAATGGAAGGGGAAGAGGGATTCAAATTTTCTCTGGTCAAAACTATGGGCTGAAAATGAGTTTATTTACTGCTGATGCCACGGGAATTTCTTAGGTGGCACTCGGCGTAATATGATGGTTGGAAGAATAATGAAAAAAAAAGTCGTGAATTTCAGATTTAAATATTTAATTACAGCTGATATATCGTCAGAAAATTATCTTGATCCGGCGCAATTCTCAAGGCAAAATCAAGTTAGAAACTTCAAAAATTAAATTCGGGACTATTTGAACTCTGATTTTAGCAAACTTATAGTCGACCTGAACGTCTCGAAAAAACTAACCCAACGACACCAAATTCGACCTAATCCGAGCTCAAATGGGTCCAAATCAAAGACTCGATGCGCATTTGGAAGGTTTAAACTATAATTTGGATTACCAAACGGTTTCTAAAAGTGACATATTTATAGTCGAATCGAACGACTCGACGAGAGGAATCCTACAAGCCCAAGATCGCCAAATTCTAATATCATTAAGGCATTCAAATGCTCATTAAACGGTCAACGATCAAGGGGATCAATATCGACCGTTCATTCAAACACTTCCACATTACCCTTAATCTTCCTCCTATTTACTTGTCATATCACTCTGAGAAAATTATAAATATATCTCTCATTCCTCATGAAAAGGGGACCCAAGCAAGGAAGAAAGGAAGCGAATGAAGAGAGTTCTCCTGCCACCATGCACTCTCCTCCTTGACCACCGTCGGACTTTCACCCGGCCACCGACTATCGTCATATTTCCAACCGGCCATTGGCTGGCGCAGGACTTATGCCCGACCACTGACTGATACTAGACTTCTACTCGGCTGTCAATTGAAGCTGGATTTCCACCTGACCACCAAATGTCATCGGATTTCTGATCTCCTTTCGAAATTGGATTTCAAACCGACGGTTGATTATTGTAATATGATCATCCTCAATTTCAGCTATGAGACATTCACTTGTAATCTAATAAAACATTAGTAGAATCATTTAACTAGGCGCGGCCCTGTGGTTTTCCCTTTTTTTTGGGTTTTCCACGTAAAAAATATGGTATTTCATTTTTCTTCTATTTGTCTGGTGGATATTCATGCAACGCTGAGGCGAAAATTTCTAACTATATCGGCTCGTATATTCTAGCCCACAACAATAGGCCATATTTTACTTTTAAAAAAAATCAATAAAAAAAAATAATTGAAAAATAAAAACATAGAAAGGTGATAATTGTCCTTGCTTGAGCGAATTGAGGATCTGCCGGCCTCTGGAGCCATAATTTGAAAATATTTTAAACATTTTAAAAATTAAATAATAAAAATATTATTATGTTTTTTATTATTAATATTAAAATAAAAAAATTTATGTTTTAAATAAGTAGTTGTTTAATTTAAACAATTTTAAAAATCTTTAATTAACATAATATTTTAAAACAAGTCAGAATTTATTTAATAACTTTATTATTATAAATTTTTTGAAATAATAAGCATTTTTAGCTAATAAAAATATTTAAAATTTCATAGGTAGAAAATTGTGATACATTAAAATATATGGATCTTAAGGCTTCATTTGCACATTTTTGGCGACTATTTTTTGCTACTTTAAAAAAAAATTTGTGTTAAAAAGTAATAAAGTAGTAAGAAAATTTCATAAACGAAATCTAAGACTTCGTTTGGACAACTTTCGTAGTGCTTTCTAAAAACGATTTCTAGTATAAAAATTTTTAACTAAAAAATTTGTACTATAAAACTATTTTAAAAGCAACAAAAAAGTTGTCCGAGCTTCCTTTGAATACTTTCTTAGTGCTTCACCAAACAACTTTCTAGAACAATAATTTTTAGTTTAAGATATTGTGTTATTAGAAAGTAATAAGAAAACTATTACAAATGAAAGTCCTAAGTTTTATTTGTGGCACCATCCATGATGCATTAAGGTCTTATAGGCTATTCTTTCTTCTAGTTTTGGTAATTGCAAGCTAATGAAGGGGTTTAATATTTTCCATGCATGCAAATCATTTTGTTTTTCCGTCAATAGTTTTTGTCGATAAGGGCTCTTCCAACCGAAGCTCTCATTTTTTACTGCAAAATGCAGGTAAATTAAAAAGTGCTGTGGAATTTAACAGCTCATGGGAGCCATTTTGGCCCGAATAATTTCGTCGTTCTTTCGGCCTTTCTCCAGACTGAGTTCAGTAGAGAGAAAGAATAGCGAAAGTGACAGTGGGCGACGCCAATATTGGCGTCGCATTGTTCATCAGCGACTGATGCCGATGAAAAAAATGGAGTTTTGGTTGCGGACGTGTTGGAGGGCTCTCCATAGTCGGGTGTTTGCCAACGGCTGAGAAGTCTAGGGCCAAGCATATATTATATATATAATACTGGTAAAATTCTAAATGCATAATTAACGTGGTTAAACAAAATTTTTTCAAACAAGTGTGGTCAATGTTTTTATATCTTAAAGTCGTGAAGCATTTTATGGCAAACAATTTTATTTCTCTTTAATCCCTGTCACATGCTTGGCAAATGGAGGACTATCGGTCCTCATCACATGGCAGAGCTAGATTTGTTTTTTTGTGTGGAGCACAATTTAAGTTTTTAAATATTTTTTTTTTCCATTTGTACATGAGACCCAACATTGTAGTTATAATAAAAAATTTAATTTTAATTTTATTTTAAAAAAAAAAAAAAAGATAAAATATATGATGAACTTTGTTGCCTCATTTTTATTCGTGATTTTCTCTCAAACATGTGTGCTGGACTTGAATTGAGCCACGTTGAGCTAAATTTGAGGTCGAATTCATGTAAATTTGAATTTAATTTCATAATAACATAATTAGATGAAATTGGCACTAAATTGACTCGAATTGTTCAAAGTTGAGCTATTTGACTCAAATCTGACAACAAATTCAGCCCCAATCAAGTTGAATTGATTG